TAATGAGCATCTTCGCTAATATTTATTTATTTTTGTTATATGAATATTACTATAAGAAAAGTTCCTGGCCACGGAAATGTACGCAAGATAGAAAAAGCAATTTTATTTGATAACAAAAAAACAATCGTTAAATTCTGCTAGATAAATATAGGGCACAGCCCTGGTCTGCAAAACACACCACTTGAGCAAATGTATATTTTGGAAAACTTTTAACAAAAATAGCACAAAACAGGCCCTTAATAGAGGTGTGGGTTATGCTCGTTTAGAGCGCTTAAAAATGACAACCCAATAAAGTTTTTTTTTTTATAGTTGTTTGTCATTAAGTCCAAGAAAAGACGACACCGAATTAGATCTGTTCACACAGAAAAGGTCAAAAACAACAAACAATGGGTGTAAAGAAGATTAAACTTTGAACTCGCAAGAGACAACTTCTTGTAAGATCCTTTTTAACGTGAAGAAATCTTAATCTTTCCAAGAACCCACACGTTAATGCCGAAATCGGGTTACATGTAGGCGGACTGGAGGGGTGCTCTATTGAATTCTGCGGCCTCTTTGATACCTCCATTTTCGTCGATTTGCCAAACAACTATAAAGCAGTGTGTTTTTCTTATCTAGGACTCCCAGAAGTCAGAGAAGAACTACTAAAGCAATCAATAATAACTGGCCAAATAAACACCGTGTACATCGCTCAGTACTCACAGGTCGTCCTTATTCTAATACGAGTTCGTCTTACTATAGGCAGCTTTAAAACAATCATCGTACTACTAATACTAAATACAAACAACAGTGTCCGATGAACAAACACGCATACACATTCGTAGATGTCTGTTCTCGCTACGTGATAAGTGCACTGAGGGGATTTTTTTTGCCTTTTCTTTCGCTTCGATTCCCATCCTACCGCCGGTAGTGCCGGTCTGTCAAACCCATAGATGGCCACGCAACAGCCTGTTTCTCAGTTCCACTCTCTCTCTCTCTCTCTCTCTCTCTCTCTATCCGTTTATACGAATTTTCTATGCCTGGGCACGAAAGGCCGACGAAATTGAGCTTTTTTTTCCAGGTTATCGTTCTACTCTGGATCTACCCGCTTAAAAAGCTGGAAACTATATGTATAGTCCATAAATATCGTCTTTCTGCTTGTCGAGATCTATAAAAGCGGCTTGGGTGACGGTGGCGTGGCAGAGATCGTTTGTTTATTGAATAAGCATCATTGCAACGGATAATTTTTCGATAACGGTTGGGACCCGTAAGTAGCAGGTCCCATTGCAATACACAGATTCGATGAACTGACGGAAAGAGCAAGAGATATGGTGACGCGGAGAGCATAGGAATCATCTTGACCAGTGTAACTCATGATAAGATAATTATGAAATAATAAGGACCGCTATTGTTCTAGCTTAACTAGACTTGTTGATTGTTATCGAAGAACAGTTACCTTTATAGCGGCTCCAAATAATATCACATTAGACGACTGATGAATATCGATCGTTGTAAGCTCGTGAGTTCGATAGCTGAATCGATTGGCTAATGGCTACGGGTGCAGATTAAAAAGTAACTTGAAGATCAGATTAGAGAGTTCTTGGAGAGAAGCTGGCTTTTAGGCGTGCAAAAACGTGAGATTATATGTATGTGCGTCCACCGAAGTAAGTGTTTATCTTTTTCTTACAGAGCTTGCCAAAGCTCTTAGCGCCATTAGCCTGGCTAAATGTTTTCAAACCATATTCTTACAAGTCAAGTTTCGCAATAGTCACTTCATTTTCTGAGATAGCAGGATCCATACATGTTTATATTTACTTTGAGGAATTGATCTGTCATAGACGCTGAAATCCAATTCGCACCATGGGCTAGAGCGATGCCACACTGGTACGCATTGATTACAAACGGACATACGACTTGCGTATAGTTTTCCCTGAACATAGGCGAATTTAGAGAGGATTACGGTGGTGCGTCTGTGTTTGGAATCAAAGCTCCCCAGTTAAATGCTGCCATGCTTTCTATTCATGTGTTCCACTTCGAACTACTGCGATGCTCGTTATTGCCAATGGTATATCGATCACACCGGCAACTCGTGTATTTTTTCCAACTTGTTTTAGTACAATAGTGCCCCGTTGTTCTGTGGGGGGTTCCCATTGCATAGCCTAAGAAACCATCTACTAGACGTATGTATTTGTATAATTATCAAAATTGTTAGGGACCGAATTATTTTAGGCATATTATTGTGAAATGAAAAATTGCAGTCAATTTAATGTGCAATCATTTAAGTTGACCTATTTCGGTTGGTCACGAAAAATCAGCGTTGCCCTGCGAAACGAATTGCGATTGTTTTTACGTTGGCGCAGAGATTAACGTCAGTAATAACAATAACAGTGTTTATAATAGTTAATTTGATGGGCACCGAACAAGATGTTCTGTAGCTTTTTTTAATAGTAGAGCCAGTTGATAATAAAGGCTGGGTGCGACAAGGGGTTGGCCAAAGCTTCACGTGACTGTGGCAAATATCAGGAGGCCCGGGGAGCGCAAGAAGGATCGAGATATCGACACTGTAGGAAAAAAGAAAAATAAGCAAAAACGTAAAAATAACAATAGTAGTTACTTTCTCTTTATAGCAATAATTACCTTTTACTAAAGCCATTTGATCAAAGAGTCGCAGTAAGTCAACGTACTAGTCTCAAGTATACTATAATACCTATGCATGTGTTCAACTAAGACGATAAGATCAAAAACAGAAATACAAACGATGCAGAACCTGCCGTTCAAACATTTTCAGTTGTATGTTTTTTTGCTTTTTCATACAGTGGGATATTATGCATTCCCAATATCGGACAGAAAAAGTACAACGCATGTCTATACAATATCACGTGAGTTATCTGTCGAGAAAAAAACGTAGTAGAAGACCTAGTTGAGCGGAAGCTTGCGCTCACTCACCATTAGCGTGAGATAGTCGTCCATATTAGAAACAAATTAATTGGTCGTCTTGATTGCACGGGAACGAGGCATATTACATACAAATTCAGCGTGTTTCAACGTTTTAAACAAAGCGTAGAAACAACATTATTTGACTGTATCTGTGGTGAAGTTCGTGTTAGGGTGCAAATCGGATACACGTTGAAGAGAGAGACTAGTTCTACCTATGGCGGGTCTAAAGGCGATCGTTCAAACAAGCCAATTTAGGGCTCGTTCAGGCGCCCAAACATCAGAAGAGACACGCGAAGACTTAAGGACAGAATACCTTTAGTAAAGATTAATGTGGGCTCTTGAACATCGAAAAACAGAACCGGTAATAATAATTAAGTGGTGAGGTTTTGCGATCGAAGTCAAGCTTTTCCTTTGAGACCACTATTAAAGTGATTCTACTATTAGAAATGAGAGAAAGTGTACAATTTGCATAAAGATATCAAATCATTTATTACAGAGGGCGATAGGCAATCAATTCAAGTAGTCGGCATAGAGTTATTTGTGTGTGGGGTCACATTCAGCCATGTACTTCAGATGGTCAATGCTTTGTCGAAGCCCCCCATGTGTCGAGCGGGAAAAAAGGTTGAGTAAGCGCTATAAGCAGTCAATTGGGTGGTTGATACACTGTTGTAACTATAGCAAAAAGCAGTTTGGTTCACAACGGATAGGTCGTCATCTATAGGTTGTCGTCTGCAAGGTGACTGATAGGCAACCTTGACCGACCGAGATTTAAAGAGTTTTAAGGGGTTCATCACAGGCTATATGGAAGTAATACAAATAGCCTTCCGATTGATCCGATCGATAGTTAATTAATGTCCGCTAAATCAGTTTTATCATGAGGTGTATCGTGTCGCTGGTTGATTTCGCAGCAGACGCTTGTCACTAATCTGAGCACAACGGCGTCTTCAAAGGACCAAACGCGACCGGCAATTCAATTATAACTAAATTCACCAATTAGCAAGTCGGACACAACACGAACATGTTACTCCTTCCGCTGGCAGTGTACGGCCATCTTGGCTCAAACTATGCTTTAACTTTCTACTTCAGTATCATAATTTACTTGGAGAAATTCTAACTATCGCTAGCCGATTTTAAGTTAAGTTTTACAAATGTGAAATCGACTCCACCTAGACGCTATCACGCTTCTTTAACGCTCGTTAAGCTACATATGTGAGGCGACAATAACCAGCTCTTACATGCGGCCGAAGGAAACCTTGAGATTCAGTGTCGAACTGGGGCACATATTTCAAGCATTCGCGATTCGATCGATCAGGGTTACCTTCAACAAACATTAATCTAAATACTTTACCTTAAATATTAATTGAAATACTTCAGTTTTATTTCAGGCTTTTCTAATACGAGCGTATCACACACAAATCCAAATGCATACGCTTATGTAACAAAAGAACACTGTAACAGATCTATCTATTGTACTTGTTTTTTTACTGTTTAACTAAAATGTCTGTTCTGAAAGGAGCTTGAACGAAATCGCTCATTCGTTCTGCAGCGCTAACGGCCCGTCTACCTAAAATTTTAGTACAGTCTTATACTGCTACCGGACTACGGTCTAGCTTTGCTTGTACCCTTGCTAATTGTGCACTTAAAACCTCTATAGTACAAATCGTTCTCGTCTGTTTTTTTTTCTTCGTGTAAAAGTCGTCCTAGGATTGACAAATTTTTCCGCTGTCACTATAAGCCATCTGGTCGCTATCAAGAACTTGAAAACTGCTTTGATTAATTATATATTTTTCTCTGTGTGCGCCTATTTAGGTATTACTTTCCAAGTCAAACAGAGATAGAGCGGCTCAGTAAACAAGCCTAAGGATATTTACACACAGAATCAGGAATTATATTTTGTCCTTAGCCGTAGTAGTAGTAGTAGTAAAGAGCTGTATAGCAGCGCAGTGCTACTCAACTCAATTAAATATTATAATAAATTATTGAAATTTTGTTTACGGGCGGTCAGTTTGGATGAACTTTATAGGTTTGTTTCTGGTTTATAGTTTCGTTATCTGAAATAACTGTTGTGACCATTTATTGGGAAACAGGTGGGGACGTTCGCGATCAACACCGACGGCCTCTATTAGGTGAGTCCGAACCGCCGTTTTAAATTTTACATACATTTAGGACATATAGTAAACTGGAGTTTTACTTTAACGCTTACGTACCTGAACTGTGGAATAACACTTTCTTCTTTAGTTTGGTTCGTTTACGATGAACGCATCTATAGACTTCATAGATATCATCATTCACTTTTCTATGGCAGCAAGCCTATGGGCATTTCGATATCTGGTTGGTCAATGAAGCGAGATTGTCAACATTTCTATCGACTATTTGCAGAACCAGGCCCTGGCTGACGATCATATGCTGTAAAACTTAACGTACCTTATGACCTTCTAAAGTCCATTCGGCTTTCATAGCTACATGCATCAGAAAATTATTCCAGTCGTTTGTTGAAACCGTCTACATAGAGGGAGTCGTTACCTTGACGTTTGACGAGTTTCTTCCAAGCTATCCAAAAACTGTTCGATCCAATGGAAATCGGCAGTAAAATACACTAGGACTATGTATAGCTGTGTCCGCGCCTCTTTGCAGGCCGATTTAGTGGTTACGAACAACCAAGCTCAAAAATTATATGGCACTTTACCCCCATATGCTTATTTTTTACACTATACAGTTGAAGCTCAATCGAATTACCTTGCTGCCGTCTCGCATCGCTTTCGTGTCGGGACTAATTCACTAAAGTTCTCAGTTTACCCTCATTCAAGATGGTTCTCTTACCCTGCTAATCCTATTTCATTAACCTGTTTTGATTAGCTTTTTCCGCCATTGCTTAATTTCGCCACGGCTCTTCAGCTACCTTGGTTTGGGACATTTTATTATGGCAACACTAAGGGTAGACGGTTTAGTTTTGTCAAATAAAAAATGCTCCACAATTGGCACGTCATTTTGATTGAAGACACCCCATTACAGAACCATCTATTCTACATTAACTAAATAGAGCTTGTCTCTGTAAACGGTTGCTTTTTTTTTGTCGTCTTTAATAAAGAAACGCGAAAAGTGGACCATTGATTAAGAGGAACGGGGTTTTAAATCCCAATATAATTGGGGGCCGGCCATAAAGGGCTGTCCAACACGCGTATGGCATCTTTCTATGGCAGCTCAATCAGATTTAAGTTTTGATGTATCATTTTTGGTTCGGTATCAGCTTTAGTTGTATAGCTTGAAGCTCCCGATGACTGTCCCGTCGTTACAATAATCTGAAAAAAAAAATATAAAAAAATAACAAGACGAAACGAGTTTAGAATTGGCTTCAGAATACAAATACTTTATACAATAGATCTAACCATAGAAACTTAAACAGCGAAACTCAGGACTGGTGTTATGGCTTCTTTGTGGAACTAGCAATGGTAGGCGGATTCATGAGGCGGTAACAATGAAGACAGTCGGATGATATCTCATCGGCAATACATATTAAAGCATCCAGTGCATCATGCAAAAGAACTTACGACTCGAGTTTAAAATATATATCGACTGAACATATTTAGTATGGTGCACCGCTTTATACATTGGATTATTTTGTATACCATAAACGTGAGAGTTGAAGCTGATATAATGAAAAAAAGTTGATTTCTTAACTTAACAATAAATACATAACGACTTCTTTGAACCTTAAAACCGTTAGTAGAATATATTAGAATATATGTTAAACAATGCTAGATTTGATTAGGTTTTGACTAAAGGGAGCATACATATGAGAAACCTGTTTGGCCCTAAACGGCGCCAAAGGTTGGATCGAATAGGTAAAGTTCCATTCAGTTCCGAATACTCTGACAAAAACGTAACTGTTAGCCCAGTTTCTTGTAGAAAATTTTTAATAAGAGAGGGAACGCGAAGACGGGCCAGAGACTTGAGCCTCAAACAAGGCCAAATGCAGAAGGATTAGCAAAGACGGTTGTAGCTGTAAAATATGAAGGTCAACTGTCCTTGTCACGGCAATATGAAAGTGCTGGGTAGATAACAACCTTGGTCGGCGTGATGGGCGAATTATAAAGGGATGAGACACCAAGTAGGACAAATAACATTTAGTCCAAATATACATATTGTATGACTGCGCACGTTAGAATGTCTTGTGAATCTAGAGAGGCTACTATTTCAGGCATTTAATTATTCAATTCTATGAAACCTGAATCTACGTGTATGGTTTAGCATAGCTTCACTGGAGTAATACTTGCTTGATAGCTCTGTCACTGTGTCATTTATAGTCTAATGCAAGGTTGTTCATTCATTGGAATCGATTGAAACAAGCCGTCTAAATCCATTCGGGATACAATATTCTGGCTGGCTTATCCAGGTTCGAATCCGGATATGGATAAATTTGGTTTTATGTTGGAAGCCAGCCGTCTGGTGGACAATGCCAAACGGCGATAGCAGATGTAAAACTCGAAACGCAGAGATTTATTCCGAATCATACTAAGAGAAATGTTGAATCTATGTGTATAAGGAAATACTTTATACCTCATAAGCAAACAAGTAAAGGGTGTTGAAGCCGTCAGCAGTGTTTTCTCAACGATTGCTTTCTGTTAATAAGCGATTACCTAAGCTTCGCTATGATTTCCACCAGCGTCATTAGGTAGGGAGGCGCTGCCGGTATCTGTCGAGCAGCAAACTAAACAAATCGGTCTGTATAACCCGATAACCGAATAAGAGATCCCAGATTGTCATACCCGATTAGCTTCTTGGTTTTCCTAAAATATACCCCACTCAGCATTAGATATACCTAATGCCACATCCTAAAAGCATGTTAAGGTTCCTCGTCCAGACGAGTAAGGAAGGAGCAGAACGCAAACTCCCAACTGGGCAAACGGGCCATGCCAGGTAAACAAGCCTAAACGGTACGCAGAATGAACAACGAACTGTTCATTTGTTTACGTCCAGCATCGAGATCCAAATGCTCTCAGACAAAACTCCTGGTGGACAAAACTCCTGGTAGACGAAACTCGCTCGGATGGCGTGGCCAATGGGCGGAGAAACGCAATAACGGACGATCAAAAATGTCGAACAAATCCCCTAAGAAATACGAGCACGAAAAAGCGTGAGGAAACCTGTCCAAACCAGGAGTGAGAACGTAATGTCGTACAACGTCGAGGCAGCAATACCAGTGGTAGCAGTATTGATCGGCGACGATGGTAACGACAAAGATATTGGTCCGTGTAGAGTAAAAATCTCTCGATGTATCTTTATTTGAGACAATGATGGTAAGTTCCTCTTCACCTATGGAAAATCTTAAACCGAAGGTGCTTCATAAACGTAACCAAGGCGAAAGCGTGCAGATCAATAGCAAACAGTGAAGGGCACGATACGATCAGTAGCTGTGCTTTTGACAATGGTATATAAATAGGAAAACTCAATTTTTAGTAGCTTCTTTTAATTTTTAATTTGTTCAATTGGGTAAGGTATGTGCGCAACAGAAACATAACGTTTATATATAACGGTCAACACTCGAACATGGGATGAGATTTCAAAACTGTGGCCGCAATAATAGTAAAACATCCCAAAAGTACCTTGCAGTACCTATGTCATTTATTATCTAACTGGTACTATTATAGGAGATTTTTCGCCTAACAGGAGGAACTACGGATATCAACATGCTTTTTATATGGCGATACTGTGTATGAACAGTTGGTTGAAACCTTTAGTTATGTATGTCTCGCTAGCAGTTTATTACATGTTGGTCAGAAGTGCCAGCTACTACCAGGATAGAATTTTCAACTGAGATTAGATCAGTTCTAGAGAATGTGTGACATAACTGTAGCTTCATCTATTATTGGAACGAACTAAACTAAATATAAATAGTGTTTTTACCCTACAGTTAGTATCTGTCCATGGAAAAAACATACGCTGAAATGCAATGGAACAGTATTTGTTAATTCTAAATTATTGTAGGTCACGGAAAGCGTTTCGAGGCTAGGTGACATTTATGCGTGTTCATCATCTTTGTTTAAAGACTGTCATAACTTAGTAACTACTACGTACACAAATAAATCTAGCAACCCGTCGATAGCATTCCTTGCTCATAGGTCTTAAAAGAGAATATCGTCGCTTTGCATTACAGAAGCGATGCCACCGCTTTTAATACTCAAGTTAAAACGTATAATCGGCTGAATTAAGCAAACCTTCGTTCGGCGAGCATAAGTACGCACATACATACATACATACATACACCAGTGATATGATATAAAACGAATTTCAATTTTCTCTCAGTTCAGCAAGGATATATAGGTCAGGTTTACCCAGATTAACCCAATGATGATCTGTTATATAGGCAACTACACACATTTTGCATGTATTCGTCATTGTTTGAAGTTACCGTTCTTGTTTACTATGGTAATGCAAGCCTTCAAGGTATCTAAAGAGGTTACTCGACTTGATTAGACATGTTCTCCTTTTTTTGCTCTTGACGTCAAAAATGATAACTATCAAAATTTCGGAAGCCTCTGTCGAAACATGTACGTACATTTAAAATGAAGCTCATACTGCTAGGACTACTGTTGATAAATAAAAAACGGCTCAAAATATTTAGAAAACAGTTTTTTTTTTTTTTTTTTTTATCTAGATAAGTGATTTTCAGGATAGGCATTAGTGAACTGCGTTGAACGCGTTGTGCTCAAATACAAATTATGTCTGCCGCACGTAACTGTCCGGCTACATTTGGCAAGATCTTATGAACTAATATCTATTTTATGAGAGGAATATACCAAGGTGTTCAATAACAACATTAAGTTTAAAACTTAACGAAGTATAGTTAATCGAATACAGTCGATGGTCTCAGAGAGGTACGTCTCATACTTTACAATTCAATTTCTATTTTTATCGCAACACCTAGCCTTATAGTACTTTACCGCCTTGCCACTGCGCCATCTTAGAATTTAAAATTGAAACGATACTTTTAAGCTTTTATTTTTTTTAGAGTTAAACATCACAAATACTATAATTAATATATATATATATATATATATATATATATATATATATATATATAGAAGAATAGAAGAAAAACAGGTATGTAAAATTCTGATATTCGGTG